ACATTAATTTAAGGTTATAATATGCTAATTTGCCAAACATTCTTTACATGCACGCTTATGTTCTGTAACGCTTTGTAATTTATGCTATACATACAGTTATATATTAAAATAAGCGTTCACCTTGTGTATCCTGAGTTACAGTAGCCGGATTAAGCCTTTATTAAAGACGTTCGTTTAAGGTTATCTCTGTCATCTAATGTGACACGTTGCAACGAAAGGGTAGTTCAAATTCGTCGACGTCTACCGTCTACGAATGCCTATGAGTGAAAACAACTTTTGGTGCCTCGCCGCCTAAAGCATCACAATTTTCAATGTTATTCCACCAGATATCATTGCCTCCGCAACATTTAGATTTGGCAAGAGAAATACTGTAACAATTACTTGGTTTAGAGCGGGAAGGCCCCGATTATCTACTCGCCATGTTCAAGGACGTTATTGATGACGATGGCCTTTAAGTGTCCAAAGCCTTAAGCTGCACTGAAAAAGAATATGCAAACGAATGCCGTGTAGGGAAGATGAAAAGGTATTGCATCGGCGAAGTAACATAAACGAGGTTATTTCAGCAGAAGGGAAAAACTTCCTACAGAAACGCTCGACAACTTAATCGCTGAATTAAAAGGAACCTTGGCAAAGCACTACAATTTGTGATTTTTTACGGTTTTTACACGATACTCTCATCTGCGTTCGATTGGTCTTGGGATAAAACATGAGCAAAGCACAAAGCAGCCACAAAGAATGACAGAGCCCCCGTTAAACAAGTGTATCGACATTCCAGCATCCGAGATACAAATATAGGGATCTTTACAATGACGACGGCGACGCCGAGGACAACGCCTTATAAAACTGAATTTGTCCAGGATGCTTATGGCTTTAAAACCTCGCTCAGGCTAAATATGTAATGACAGCGTTCAATTCTAAATGGAAATACGACAAATTAGCAGTTCAACTCATCGTTCGCGTTCGCGGTCATTTTGCGTTGTTGTTTCGCAGAGGACGGCTATGAAATGTACAAACGTTTACTGAACACACTTGTGCAGCCTTTGTTTTGCTCATTAAACCTTTTGTTTGGTAGTGCTCATTGACATCGTGGTTTGCTCCAGACTCCGTCCACACTACGCCGGAGGAATTTAAAAACGCCGACAGCTTTACTTCTACGGTTAGACCTACGGTCCAGAGTAATCCGTCACGAAAACGGAGCTTTTCGAAAACGCTTTTCAAACCAGAGGAATTTGAAAACGCCGGCTTTGGGTTTTCGTGTAGACGGAAAACATTTTAAAACGGACCTTTTCGAACAGGGTCAGGAGAACCACGTGATTTCCCTGGCCGAGATTTCCTGAAACAAAAATATAAAACGACCGGTGATTGCTGCGTTTTTAAATTCCCGGGCCTAAGCTTCCTAGGCTGCTAATGAAGTCAATTTAACAAATTGACGTCAGTTTTTCATGCGTCTGTCCGGTTTTTGATCATGAATTTCGTCATAACACTGTCAAAGTGGCTGTGGATCTACGAGGCGATAGCCGAGTGGATCCGCAGACTACTTTGACTATGTTATGACGAAACTCATTGTCAATAACAGGACAGACGCATTAAAAACTGACATCAATTTGTTTTTTACGATAACGAATTGTCAAATTGTCCGCTCTCGCTCGTTGACGCATCGCATAAATTATAAATTCATGTGTCTGTCCGCTTATTGACAATAAAAATTAGCCAATGAAAGCGCGAGAACCTCTGCAGTCATCGTAAAAAATCAGACGGCATTCTTCAATGAGTCCAAAGAGACAAAAATCGGAGGTCCCGCGCAAAGGAGAAATGCACCATGAATAAACACCGTAAACAAAATAAATATTTAGGAGTGGAACTCTTTAAGGACCTCGATCAAGTTTAATATT